AATTGACCTTCTAATTTCAGAAGGTCTTTATGGGTTATCCATTTGTCTAACCCTAACCAACTCTTCTCTCTCAAAAAAGAGAGGTTCATATGGTGAGACACAAGGGACATTTCTTCAGCATCTCCAGATTAAGAAGGATTTTAGGCATCAGTGTATATTTCATTATATTTGCTGCCCTTGGATTTCTTATATCAGAGGTGGGTTTCCAATATCACACGTAAACAGATTACACTCAAATCTCCCAGAGCTTTGATTCAGTTGATACTATGGAGGATCTTGATGGACTGTCTGTTGAGGGTTTCTCTGTGGATGACCACTCAAAATCTTAAGCTGAACATTGATAAAACAGAGACCACTCAGTAGCCCCAGTTTCATGTCCTTCACTGTGTTTGCAGGGTTACACATTGGCCCTTCCCCAATGTCACCCAGTATGTTTTATGGCCAAGCAGGAGTTCGAACCCTGCTCTCCAGAGTCATAGCCCAACATTCAAACTACTATACCACCCTGGCTCCTATGATACAGACTGATAATCTAATAATGTTGAAGGCACATTCATGTGTTAGATGGATATTCCTAAGCATTGTGGGGAAAGTATCCAACAAAAGATTTCCATCTTTGGCATCAGCCTTGTTTCAGGCTTCCAAAAGAATCTATATTTTGTGAATTTTGCTGAGAATGCCTCTGTCCCTCTATACCCTACCTCTCTCTCCACTATTCACATCAAAAAAGTCTAGGTTTTGAGAAAATGATTCCATTTCATCACAAGCAGCTCCATTTCCCTTCATTAAAATATTCCTTTCTCACACAACTTCATCCATGACAGTTCCTGTTTTTTGCCAGCTGTGTCAAGAAAGAGCAACTGAATGAGGATGTCTGATGAATACTAGCATTCATAGAAAACCCAAAGGATCTGTAGGCAGGCCAGAATCCCTGTCATTTAGAAAGTGAGGTTTCCTTGTTTCAGATGAATTTAAAGTCAGAGTTTCATTGTTGTTGCACACTCTCTCTCTCTCTCTCTCTCTTTAATAAACTGAATGTTTGGAACTCTGATTGGGGGGAAAAGTTCATTTTCCATACTTCTCTTCTCATATTGACTGCAGTGTTGCTGAGTAACGGGATCTCAGTACCTGAGCGTGAGTTTCTCAAAAATGTGGCCAAGAAGATGCTCAGCAATGTTTACATTTAGAAAAGAGCCCTCAGTCGGCTGTAAGCAATAAGGCAATGAGTCATCCCATTTGCTCCTCAAAAAGAACAGGCTATCTATAAAATAGCTCCACTTTCTACAAATCATGTAGCTGGAGGGAGCAGCTCAAATCTTACCATGTTTGGGAGGGTTTCACAACCAACAAACCATGTGCTGACTTGGACCTGTAAAACGGGTGCAATTTTAGGTGATATGCAAGGAATAGCATTCATTCTCTTCTTTCTCTTTCCCTGCTTTAAAGAAATTTGGTTTTAACACTGGTGCTGCAGATTTGGTTTCTCTCACAATATGTCAGCCTTCCGCAACCTGATGTTCTCAAGATGTGCTAGACTGCAATCCCCATCATCCCAAACCAGCTTGCTTGGCCAAGATGAAGAGGCTTGAATTCTAAATACTCCTCCCTAAACAGCAAATGTGAGAGCCAGCATGGAGTAGTGGTTTGCATGTTAGACTACAACTCTGGAGACCAGGGTTTGAATCCTGGCTCAGCCATGAAACCCACTGTGTGACCTTGGACAAGTCACACACACTTGCAGCCTCAGGGGAAAGCAATGGAAAACCTCCTCTGAACAAGTCTTGCCAAGAAAACCCCATGATAGGTTCACCTTAGGGTTGCCATAAGTTGGAAATGACTTGCAGGCACACAACAACAACAACAACAACAACAACAAGTAAATTCCAGGATTCAATAGGACGAATTCATGTCAGTTAAAATGGAATCATAATTTGAAACACTCTATGCTTCTGTCCCCCTTTGTCAAAGGGTCTTTTCATACTATTGAATTATAGTACTTTGATTCTATTTTAACTGTCATGGTTCCATACTATGGAATCCCTGGACCTGTGGTTTCATTAGGGATTCAGAATTCTCTGCCAGAGTCCTGCAGTGCCTCACCAAACTTCAAGTCCCATGGACTAAATGTTCATTGTACTTTTAATTTATTTTATATGTTGTAAATTGATTTTACTGAGTCTGTGGACCATAATAAAAGCAAAGCAGCTTCATTTATATACCACTTCATATCACGCTATGGGATGTCTAAGCGGTTTACAACTGTAAGCTCATTGCCCCCCAACAGCTGGGTACTCATTTTAGCGGCCTCGGAAGGATGCAGGCCTGAGTCAAGCCTCAGCCCTGGCTGGTATTGAACTTGCAACCTTGTGGTTTATGAGTGAGTGGCTTCAGTACAGGCATTTAACCACTGCGCCACCAGGCTAATAAAGAATTGATTGATTGAACTGCAAATCCCAGGATTCCATAGGATGTAGCAACCAAGGCAATTAAAGTGTTATCAAAAATGTTATAAATTTGTAGCATGAAAGGTCCCTTAGAATCCTTTTTATCAGGAGATGTCAAGGAATTCTCTTCTGTAGGAAAAGCAGAGCTTGGAAAAGTTGCTTTTGGGGACTTCCAGAATCCTCCAGCCAACATGGTGGATGGCAGATTCTTGGAGTCATAATCCAAAAACATAAATTCTTCAAGCTCTAATTCTGATTTACCTCTCACAGCTGTTGTGAAGATGAAGGAGACAGAAAGAGAGCCACATGTGCTACTTCACCCTCAGTGGAGAAAAGGCAGGATCAAAGAAAGAAAGAAATGTGAGTCCTTACAACAATTGGCTGAGATTCTACATCTTGGTTAGAACTAGGATGGATCCATGTCTTGTTTTATTGACTTCAACTCTCTATTTTAAGGCATTCTCTGTTTCAGGGATGGGCAAACTTTTTTTCTGTTAAATCTGCACCCCCCTCATAGGTAAATTTCCAGGCGTTGATCTGATTTCCCTTTAATTGCCATTGTTAATTCGTCTATTAACATTAAGTCATTCATTTTAACTATCCATTTTCAAGTAAGTATTCATTTTGTCTTTTCCAATATTTTGCATAAATTAAGTGTGCTGCGGTCACCATATACAAGATCACTTCCATTTCCCCTTTTCCAAGTTTCATTTTTAACGCCCTCCTCAACAACAAACTACAATTCCTAGAATCCCATAGTACTGAGCAATGGCCATTACAGCAGTGTAAAAGCAGATTATTTCTGCAGTTTGGATGCAGCTGTTCTCTCCACCTGTGCTCCATTTGAAAAACTGGTCAGTCTAGGTCTGGATAAAAGGAGAAAGTTATACCTCAACACTTAATACTTGATTTGTACACAGATCAGCTGGTTAGTCTTCCCCATTGTATTGTATTTCTGTTTAAACAAGCGTCATTATTTCCAGATCTGCATATATACATTTGTTGTTGTTGTTAACTGCCTTTACATCAGTCTCAACCCATAGTGAATACAGGAATCTGAGTATAGATTCCTCATTAGGACGATCAGATGTGTTGGCACTCCCATGTCTTTAAGGACAATCCATAGCCTTTCATGATCTATAGACCTTCTGTCCTCCACTGCTCTACTTCATTCCTGCAACCCCATACCCATGACCTCCTTAATAGAGTCCAACCATCTAGCATGTGGCCTTCCTCTCTTCCTACTTCCCTCCACCTTTCCCAGCATTATTGGTTTTTTTACAAAGAGTTCTCCCTTCTCATGATGTGACCAAACGACAGGCTCAGTTTGGTCATCTTGGCTTCCAGGG